AAAGAGACACAAGTTGATTGTTCCAACCCGTGTGCGGTGCCCCCTCCACCATAATCCACCTCGATCATATCGTAGCGGTGCTTAGGCGAAGCCCTGCGTCGGTAGCAACATCATCACCATTATCACGCCGTCGTGCTGACGGAACTCTCCTGCGAAGCTCTGCTAGATCGGAGTTCGTGGGACGTCATCGAGCTGAACGTGTGCTGAACTTGGAGGTGTCGTGCGTTCGGTACTTGGATCGGTCAGATCGTGAAGACGTACGACTACATCAACCGCGTTCTCATAACGCTTCCGCTTACGGTCTACGAGGGTACGTGGACGATACTCTCCCCTCTCGTTGCAATGCATCACCATGATCTTGTGTGTGCGTAGGAAACTTTTTGAAATTACTATGTTTCCCAACAGTCACTATGTCACGAGTGCCTTTCTATTTTCTTTGAAAAACATTCCCTTCGTTCACAAATATGAGATGTTCTAACATGGCTTCTGAATCAGATGTATAGAGACACGTTTTAGTCGAAAGTACTCATGTGATCCCGAGCTCTAGTGATCTCGGATGAACAGTAAAATCCAAAAAATAGTGATTTTTTGGCAAGAAACTTTGATATTTTTTCCACATGCATGCAAATTCTTTATGAAATTACATTTGTGGAGATGTGGGCAAAACAAAAAACAAAATAGATGTTCCAAAGTGCTTTCAAAAACACTTTTTTAGAACATCAATTTTTTCCCAAACCTCCACAAATGTAATTTCATCATGAAATTTTGCATGCACGTAGAAAAAATGCCAAAGTTTCTTGCCAGAACAATTCAGTCTTTTTTATAAATTTTTTACTATTTTTTCAGATGTTGCTGTTCGTCCAGAATCACTGGAGCTTGGGAGCACATACTCCACGTCCCGTTTTAGTGTGTTTTACACTCATTTCAATCCATATATAAACCTTACTGAAATATCCAACACATCCTATATATGTGAACGGAGGGAGTATCTAATTTGTACCTAAGGTTCAAACGGAACTTACTCATAAAATTAAGGGGTATTTTTCTAAATATAGGTGATATTTTTAAGCAATGTCTAGTTGTATGTGAGAACTAAGTGAGAGTGTGGGCTTACGATCTGCCGAGCTCCATGGAGCTAGGTATGTAAAAGAAAATCATATTTAATTTTTTTGAAAATATTTAAAAAAATCATTGAAAAACTTGTCTACGTTTAGTATGGATCAGTGAAACTTTGTTTGAAAATATTGTGATTTGTAGGCTACACAATAAACAAAAATTTGGCCCAACAACAAAATAATGGCCCATTTTTCAATACATATTTTTTCTACGCCACGTGTAAAAGTATATTGTTATACAATTTTGCACCAATGCACTATATACTTGCATATGTGTATTCACATATTTTCTATTTCTGTTGTGATACATAAATTCCATATTTTTGTGCTGGGCTCCCTGAAGCCAGGCCTCCATTAGCATTTTTCGTAATAACTGGCCCGTGGCTACTAAAATGGGGAACCGTTGTGTCTCGCCGGCAGCGACTAGTTGGCGAGCGCTCGGAGCCTCCCAATGATCACTTGGGGATGGACTAACTTAGCGCGCTCTCAGTCGTCGTCACGTGTCGCGCTCTAGACGTTTCCTTCGAAAAAATTTCCCGCATGACTTTTAGGCTTTTAAAAGGTTTTTCCAAGTTTTTTTTTTTTTGAATTTTTGGTTTTCACTGGTCTTCCTTAGCTTTTGGACAAAAAAAGTGCGTGAAAAAACTCAAATTTTTCTTCTACGAGAGGCGCGGTTTTACTTTTGCAAGAGGCACAGCCATGCCTCTTGAAAAAAGAAAAAAACACATTTTCTATTTTCTTTCCTTCTGCGAGAGGCACGGCCGTGCCTCTTGGAAACAAAAAAAAACACATTTTCTATTTTTTTTTCTTCCTTGAGAAACACGGTTGTGCTGCCTCTCAGAAACGGAAAAGAAAAGCACATTTTCTGTTTTTCCTTCCGCGAAAGACACGGATTTTGCTTTAAAATGTGTTTTCTCTTTTTTTTTCTTCCGTGAGAGGCATGATTTTGCTTCGTGCTTTCATGAGAGGCACGGCTATGCCTCTTTCGGAAAGGAAAAAAAGTGCTCCTTGTTCGGTTTTTTCGTCCGTTTTTTGGGGGTTTTCGTGAAAAATAAATTCATCAAAACCTATTAACTTGGGGCTAGTTTTGAAGATCTCGACGTGAGAAATCCAATAGTAAAAGCGGTTTCAATATTTGGAGACATGGTTTAAGATATAAAAAAAGAGAAAGGAGAGAAAACTACAAGGTTGCGACAAGTGGCGCGCATATACGAAAAAAGAGAAAACTACCAGGTTGCGACAAGTGACGCGCATGCAATGCGCCACTTGTCACAACCTGAAAAGGGGGGAGTGATCTTTGAAAGGACCACTCCTTAATTAGATTTCGTGTCTCGTCTGCACATGTACACCGGGTTGTTTTGTTTTTGTTTATATTATCGGAAATATTATAAATGCATATGTTCCAAAACAACTTTGCGTACTTATAATAAATAAATAAAAATATTCACCACTAATTTGAAAATTGTTAACATGGTGTGATTTTTATAGAAGTGTAGTTTAAAAAATGTTGATAGTATTCAAAACAAATGTCCATGCTATTTGTTTAATGTTACTGAGCTTGCACATCGTCTTGAGATTGACGAAGTTGCGAGAGACGTCTACGTAGTCGAAGAGAGCGTCTTCTCCCACTGGACGCACATCGCCAGAAGGTCTGAAATAAATCCAGAAAAATGTGACCACCAATACTAAGTATAGGATTTGAACCTTCATGGGGTTGGTTTCGCCACAAAGAAGCTAACTATCTGAACTACGCACAGTTCGCAATGTTCATGTAATTCAAAAATGATGTTCCGTACCATTAAAAAATGCACACTACATTTAAAAAACATGTTTGTGACATTTTTAATAAATGTTTATACAATAACACATCTAAAAATGTTTCGTATCATTAAAACAATGTTTCAACATGTTTTTGGAAGATATTTAACACATATTTGAAAAAATGTACAAAAACATGTATTAAACAAATGATAATCATGTATTTTAAAAACAAATGTGTATATTTATATGCATATAGAAAACGTACAATGTCTATGAAAAAATAGATATAGAAAAATATATTTGAAAAAAAGTTAAATGTATACAAAAGTATTCCTGGTGTATAAAAAAATGTAGAGTGTGTATGAAAAAGGAAGACGTATGTTTAAAAAAAATAAAAAATAAGAATAAAAAAGAATAAAAACGATGAAAATCAGAGAAAACCAAAGAGAAAAAGAAAAAACAAAGAAAATTAGAGAAACCTGAAGAAAACCGCTACAGATAGTGAAAACCTTGATAAGAAAACAAGAGAGAGAAAAACTTTGTCCGCATCTACAGTATTGTGCTGATCCAGCACCACCGCACCCATTGCAACTTATACATGTATATGTTTTGAGTTGGCTGTTTGTAATAACGAAAACAACAACTTGGTCTCGCAATGGGCTAGACATAGCCCTATCAAACAAAATGGGCCGCAAAGCACCACAAGAGGCATTGAGCCTTATAAAACAGTATAAAACTAGCTCAAGTGTTGCACTTTGTCCACCCTTTATAACAAACTAACTCAGATAGTTTTTTAAGGTTGTCTAAAAAAAGATAGTTTTTTAAGGATTCAACCATAAAGGCATAAGTACTGTTGGTTGAGAGCTAAGACTTAAAAAGACATATTGATGTAGGGCCAAACCCTTCTTTGCCCGATCTTTATGATTTGGTGGTGGATTTGGGGAAGAACAAAAGAAAAACACAAAGGGGGAACACTCAATAATAATATCGACATCACACATGTTCTCTCTCAACATCCAAATCAAGATACATCTTAAATCTACAAGCAACAAGCAAGAAACTAAAAGGGTAGGCTCTTCCCAAAACTCTGTGGGAGAGATGAGGTCTTGGTTATCCACTTAGAGATCCTTCTCCAAATTGGAGGTCTCGATGATTTATGATGAGATCCTTCTTCGAGTTGGAGGTTTTGTTCCTCTAGGAGAAGGTATAAGGAGGAAAACTCTCTCAGTGGCTAGGTGTATACTTTGCTAACCCTAGGATGGAGGAAGGGGACGAGTATATATAGCCCTGAGCAACTCCCCATTGTTAGTCCTCCATCCATGAGAGTTAGTCCTCCATCCATGAGAGTGTCATGCAAATAGGAAACAACAACGAAAATGTAGCCGATTCATTAAACTCATATCAAGATGGCTCAAATGAAAAAGGTTCACCTTAGAAAGGTTCCAAAAGAACTTGTCATGTACCGCAGTGTATGTCGTGTCTCGGGAAACATGCCTAATGATGGTATAGCCTTGTGTTTCCTTCAAAACGAGCAAACGCAACAACTATTTTGTTCAGAGAAGGAGCCTCCCACCGTTTAAAAGCACTTCCTCGTCGCCATGATTTTGTAACCATCCGAAACATTTTGTCGAGAGAAGGAGCCTCCCACCGCTCTCCTTGGACCCCTTTATACCAGTTTCAATGGTTCACCAGCTATTTTAACCCACTCATTAAAAAACCCTGCTCTTTCAACTTATTTGACCCAATAAAGAGAGTCGGAAAATGTTTTTTTTCAGAATGATCTCGAGGAAAGAAGAAAGTAGGTTGGGTCAACCCAAGGAAATGGGAAGCACGCGGCAGTGTACGCTGCGTCGGGTGCACGCAGCAGCGTGCCCGTGCAAAACGAACCTTTCGCGTCAGAGAAAATGGGAGCAGCCTCCAACCAAAATAATCCGGCTTTTCCTTCCGCCGGGCTAAAAAAAGCAAGATTCCAATTGGTCGAACGAGTTTAGCCGCAGCCTCGGCCTGGGCCTCCCTTCCGCCTCCGGTCTCCTCCCACCTATCCGGATCGCCGCGGCCTCCTCCCCGGATCAGCGCCGCCGCCGTCGGTCGGAGAGCCCCCCCCTTTCCCGCGGCGGCTCGAGGATGGACGGCGCCGGGGGCGGGGGAGGAGGGCCGCACCCCTCCCGGAGGAGCATCTCCTCGGCCGCCGGCCCCAGGAGGAGGGGCCCGTCCATGGAGAACGGCCACGACGCCGCCGCCGCCGCCAGGAGGTCCTCCGCCACCATCTCCCGCACCACCTCGTACGTGAGATTATCCCCCGCCCGCTTATTTGTTCGTCGCTACAAGTCATTTCCACGCTGGTAGCGTCTCTGTTGGGTCGTGCGATGCCGTGCAGACACGGGGTAGCTTACGGGGCTCTTACGGAATAGCTTTCTGGTCGAGCGCTAGTTTGCTCCTTAGGCTAAGGGCTAGATTTGATTTGAAGCAATCGCTGCGGCGCAAGACCATTTTACTTTTAGTCAGAACGGAGACATGATTGGTACCACAGCCCACAGGCATTATGATTAACCTGTAAATCTCATTTATCTATCTATTATGATGATCTGCGCATGCACATGCTTGTATAATTTGGATTCTGTAAGACGGCGGCACCAGATGTTTCTTGATGCAAAGTGAATACAGCCGAAATCGCATGAGACGTGGTTGTAACTGAAATTGTTGCCTCCCTCAGGACGGTGACTGGGGAGAGAACCGTTAAGAGACTGAGACTGTCCAAGGCACTGACGATACCGGACCACACGACTGTGTATGAGGCTTGTCGGAGGATGGCCGCACGTAGAGTTGATGCCGTGTTGCTGACGGACTCCAACGCGTTGCTTTGCGGGATCCTTACTGACAAGGTGAGGTAGACCTTTCTTCTCTTCATCTGCTACAGATGCTGGCTGGTCGACTCTTCATTGCTAACTATGTGATGTGTTTTGTTGGCTGGTGCCAGGACATAACCACAAGGGTTATTGCTCGTGAATTGAAGCTAGAAGACACACCAGTTTCCAAGGTCATGACTAGAAACCCTCTCTTTGTTCTCGGGGACACTCTCGCGGTTGAGGCATTGCAGAAAATGGTGCAAGGTTTGTGAATGTTCCTCCCGATTTGGGCTACCTTCTTACTGCTTATCTTAATAATGTTGGCTGAAAAAGTGTCACATGATTCCAGGTAAGTTCAGACATTTACCTGTTGTGGACAATGGGGAAGTCATTGCGCTACTGGACATAGCCAAGTGCCTATATGATGCTATTGCACGAATGGAAAGGGCAGCTGAGAAAGGAAGAGCAATTGCTGCTGCTGTTGAGGGTGTTGAGAAGCATTGGGGAACATCTGTATCTGGTCTGTAGTCTCTTATGTTTGACTTGTATCAGCCTCTTGTATGATAGACCACTAAATGTTACTGTCTGAAGATTTGGATTCAGCAATTTGGCCTTTTAATGCTTTCTCCATTTACTTTGCAGGTCCCAACACTTTTGTTGAAACTCTTCGTGAACGGATGTTTAGGCCATCACTGTCGACAATTATATCTGAGAATTCAAAGTAGGTAATATCCTGTCATTTTCTAATAAATGTCTTTCTCTAATATTTCCAGAATAAATGCTGTTACAGAATACTTATTAGCTGATCTCAATTTCTTAGAGTGGCTACTGTTGCACCAACTGACACTGTGTTGACTGCATCAAAAAAGATGCTTGAACTAAAAGTAAGTTCAGCAGTTGTTGCGATTGAAAACAAGCCTGGCGGGATTCTGACGTGAGCACCTTTCCTGAGTACAATAAAATTACTTGTAATTTCTATAGCAGCATTGAACTGAAAGCTACTTTATTTTTACATCGATCAGCTCGAGAGATATATTGATGCGTGTTATAGCCCAAAATCTTCCACCTGAGTCTACTACAGTCGGGAAGGTAAGCAAAGCCAAAATAGATTATCTTCACATTCTTATGTATTCACACTACATTCCTCTGTATTTTCTCTTCAACAGTCATTAGGCCCTAACTGTCATGCCATCATGCCTGGAACTCTTTTCGACAGGTTATGACCCAGAGTCCAGAATGTGCCACGATTGACACCCCGATCCTTGAAGCCCTACACACAATGCATGATGGAAAGTTTCTGCATTTGCCTGTTCTAGACATGGGTATGTAGACAAATGAGCAATGGAGTTTGATCTAATTCAACATTTTTTGCGAAGTCTGTTAAATTATGAATAATGTGTTGTCATTATCCAGATGGGAGTGTTGTAACCGTTGTTGATGTCCTTCACATAACTCATGCTGCAATTGCAACGGTGAGTATCAATTTCCTTCTGCTTGAGCTTCTGTATGCGCACTCTGGCTTGCTCCTTTGTGTGTACTTTCAGGTTTTAAACTGGAAAATGTATATTAGTAATATGTTAATGCCCAAGTCACCCGGTGTTTAATCATTAGTGGATGCTCTAATCTGTATCTTGTTATAAGTTGCATGAGGGAAGTTACTAAAGCAACTTTATAGAGAAGTGCCAAATATACAAGTTGTATGGACCATTAGATAGTGTATCTGCTATCTGGTCTGCAAAAAAATTGTTGCAGCTTAGCTTACTGTCAGTGTCGTGTATTCTTCGCTTTCATTACTGTGTGTATAAGTTTAGAGATATCATGCCGGTATTTTAAATCTGTCATGCCTGTTTGTGTTGTTGTATTCAGGTCGGAAACAGTGGAGCAACAGGCTCTGAGGCGACTTCTTCCATGATGCAGAGGTTCTGGGATTCAGCAATGTCAAGTGGGCCTCTTGATGATGATGATGATTCCAGAAGGTTAGCATCTCTTCTACCTATCATTTTGATGACATGGTTTTTTTCTGTGACTAAATAGCCATGGCACCTCTCAGCGAAGGATCAACTAAAGTGGCATCCGAGGCAGCAGATATAGGAAGATCAGCCTTCTTTCCGCCTTCAGGCTTATCAAACACTTTTGGGTTCAAGATTCAGGACAAACAAGGCAGGATGCACAGATTTAACTGTGGTATGCACTCTCATTGTGGTGTCACCCTAACTGGGATCATCGTTCTTTCTTTTTCCATTTCATGCCCAGTAATTTATTTACACTATAGTTTCTGAGTTTCATGTGTGACGTTTCGAATTTCAGAAACGAGTAGCCTGGCTGAATTGATAACTTCCATTCTGCAAAGACTTGGCGACGACATTGATAAATTGAACCTACCTCAAATTCTGGTACTGGTCAAGCTCCATTCTCAACACGTGCCCATATATCTATGTCAGCATGTTAGTTCTCTAAGGTTTCTTCTTTTCCTGGTACCATTTTCAGTACGAAGATGATGATCACGATAAAGTCATACTCTCATCAGACACCGACCTTATAGCGGCTGTGGACCATGCAATACAAATCGGTTGGAAGGTAATGTTTCTCGTGTTGTTCGTTGGTAAAGCTGATCTTTCTCCCTACCAAAAGAAGGGAGCTCACTTGCTTTACCTGTTCCTCTGGCAGAGCTTGAGGCTGCACTTGGATTACGCCGGTGTTGGCCGCCGGAAGCGAGGAGCCGTCTCATCGGATTTCGAGTACGCTGGAAGGGACGCATGGGCTTCCGCGTACGGCACCGTCGCGGCCGGCGCGGCCCTGGTGGCCGGCCTCGGCGTGATGGCCTACCTGAAAAGAGGAGGCTAAGGCACGACGAAACACGGTTTGGTCTTGATGATACATACAGGATGTTACCACATTGATTGAAATGAACAGAATTGGACCTAGAAAAAGGAAAAATTACGAGTGGGTGTGATTGATTCTTGTGAGGAAAAATGGGAACCTGTAATAATGTCACGGCAGCGGATGGACTGTGTGGATCAAATCTTGGTTGTTCAGTCAGTCCCGAGTCTCCACGGGGTGCCACGGTTGTACACCCTGAAACACTGCCACATCATCACCATTGTGTACAATGAAAGCATAATTGGCCATTTGTTTGGAACCACACGCCGTAAGTGCAGTGGGATAGCGATGAATTTGCTGCAGTTGCTACTTCCCTGTGTGCTTGTCTGACCCTGTCATCCTCTGTACTCATCTGCCTTCCACTGAAGTAGGCATGGCATGCATGGAGCCGTTGGTCATTTGTTTGTCCAAATCAGTACGTTAGCACAAATCACTGCAGAGACGTGCTTCGTAGAGATCATGTTCCGTGGATTACTGTAGCAGCGCACTGTTCCTGTGCTGGGCACTGTTCGCATTGATCTTACCGTTGATTCTTGATCGGACAGTAGAAAATAAGGGGCATGTTAAGCTACTGTTCATAGGTGGCATGCCCAAAGCATGTCAACGGATCTTAATCCGTTGATACCATCCTCATTCATCACACGGATTAAATTGTCACTAGACGCCAATGCAGCACAGATTCAGAAAGGTGGCCACCAACAATTCATTCGGGCGCACATGTGTGCCCAGCCCACGCGACGCGCGACCACCCTACCTGGTCGTGGTCGGGCAGCCAGTGCATGGTCCGCTGACACCCGCACCAATGTCAACAACCTCCCGGCAGCAGCACGGAGCACGGCCAGGAGGCCGGCGCCCGGCACGGGCCAAACATGAATCCTGCGCCAGCGCGTCCCGGTCCACGCCGTCGACACAGCTTCGCTCAGCAATGGCTCGCTGGTCTGACCTCAGAATTCACTTGACATTTGATGCTCTGGCAATGGCAGGCGCAGTCACTGTACACGCCGGCATCCATCCACGCTGCCGCTAGTGCACTAGTCCCGTTGTTTCAGCTCCTGGGTCTGTCCGGCGTCACTCCCGCCGGTGAGGTCAGGACGGGCCGGACACCTCTCATGGCATATACTAGCATGGACCGTTGAATTCGCTGCGCCAAACCGATTAGAAGCCATACTGCTATACCAGCGCACTGACATGGATCGACCCATCCAGTGCCACTGCTCATCCACGCCGCTAACTTCAGTTCCTGTCGCTCCTTCTTCTTCCTCAACCTTTTGCACCACTGTAACTCTGTAAGACTGCAAGAATGTTTCAGTTCAAGCACTGATGGATAGGGGATTCCCGGTAAGGAAAAACAGGTGAGTGGCCAGCGGCGCGTCAATCGCTTTGCTTTGTTGCGGCTGGCCGCTGACTAGCCTGGACCCGTCCTACACGGCAGCGCGACCCCAATGCTCTTGATTTGTCTGAAGCAGTAGCTGAGCGCTCAGGCAGCAGGTATAGCACCGATCACAGATTGGTAAGTGCTTGGCGTGGACAGGCCGGGACTTTGACCGGAGCTGGCCTCGGTCGGTCTCCAAGTGTAAACTCAGGCTCGGGTGACTGTTGAACTTCTCCAAAGGGACAGCAAGGTAGGGACAGATTGCACCCCCATATACGTAGATCTGATCTGTCGCTTGCCCAAAAAACAGAACCGGAGCAGTTCCGTCTGCAGCCGATGAATGCACGAGAAATGTTTCTCTACCATGCACGGTATGAACACACACATACACCCTTCATTTTGTTCAAGATTTGTGCAGTCGGGCGTAATGAAATTTTTCTTCTTTGGAAAAGATACGAAATGAAAATCCGACAGACCAGACTAAATCGCTCGGGATTTTGATAGCCAGCGAAAGTTCTCTGGAAGAGCACGGCAAATCGAACGTCTTTCATGGCAAAGTTGTATTGTCTAAGGATGGCAAGTTTTTACCATTGCTTGCTAAAGGAATTTGTCAGCCTCCGCCCGACGACGCAAACTGCCATGAAGAACGTTTGATTTGCCACACACCCTCAGCGAACATCAATAGAATTGCGTTTCCGGTCGCTGGAGTTGGAGTTTCTGGCCTAACAGAATCGATCCCGATGAGCAGGCACGCATGCTCTTGACATGATCGATGCACAATTCCTGCGTGATGCCAATGGCCGATGCTCCATCGGTGCAGTTCAGGGATCTGATGCGATGCCTAACGGAGAAGTGTCGAGAGTTCATCTGCAACTTGTCTCCAGTCTCCGGAGAGGGACAGGGACGCATGCAGCAGCGACAAAGGCGCATCTGTCACGTCGACGACGGCGAGTGTGAATCCGAGAGAACATGAGATACACGCCATGTAATACTACCTGGATTTCTTTGTTTCTGCTGTATGGACTTGTTTGTTGTCTCGCCTCGAAAAGTTCTCCCGAGAGGAAAAGGAAACTTGAGATTTTAACCATGTCCCTTTTCTAGCTATACACATGAGCGTCATCACGTTGTGATGGATTGTTATGCGGGCTTAGCAGATTGTCTGATCTGGATGATAACAAGAAGTGGGCGTGACATGATCAGAGAGGCTGCGTTGGTCCACAGGGAAGTCGGCGCCGTGAAAGAGAGAGGCCATTCATTGGTTGGTGTACTCAAAACAAATGCTAGTCCCTTTCAGCTGAGATGGCCTTTTATTTTTTGAGAGTTGGCTGAGATAGCTACGTTGTTGACATTGTGACATTTTTATAAGCTTGTGCTTACAGAAGATTCTGGGAACTACTAGCTCTTTTATATCAAAACAAATCTGGCTTAAATATTAAATACTAGTGAGGATAGAGTACAACTGGATAATAGGGTAACCGATCTCAAATATTACTCATATAAAGGAAGCTGGAGTACCCGCCTCCCGATGGCTTTCCATGCCGTCCAATCAGCCTGGTTGGCACGCACCCACGCGATGTGTCTATGAGGTCCATGACGGGTGTACTGCAGTCGCACCCGGCGCCACCGTCATGCGGCGGTTTGCGTCAGGCCTCCTGCACGTGACGCGAAGGCCGGGACCACATGTCGGTGTCTTCGCGCTCAAGCTGGGTTGGTTTGGTCACGACAGGCGAGGCGTGCGCCGCGCCAGCCTGGGCCGGCTCTCGCACGGACCAGCCTCCGCTGAGCTAGTTCACTCGCGCCAGTCGGGTTGTGCATCACGCCCGCAATACCGGCTCGCCCCACGGGGCCGGCTATTAGGATCGTCTGCCCCGTGTCGGGCTAGTTCGCTCGTGCCAGCCGGATCCTGCATCGCGGCCGCATCGCAGGCTAGCATGTGGGCCGACCTTTCAGGACACCGTTGGCCCGTGCGCGTGCCCGGGTCGTTCATTGGTCCTGCCCGGACGTGTGGGAGGCTTGCCTGAGCTGACGTGGAGGGGTGGATCTTCCCGGACATGGAGAGGCTTTGCCTAGCTTCATCGTTGCCGCCGCGGGTTCTAGCCAGTTAGCGCATGTGGGGCGCGTTTATCTCTGTTTTTTTCGTATGTGCACGACCTTTGTCTACCTGGCTTGTCCTCATCATTGGCTCTTGCCGGGTGGCATGTTCTGGTGTGCTTGGTTGTTGCACGTTGCTGGTCCTAGCTGGCCAGCGCTGGGTGTTCTTTTTGGCCGGCTACTGGCTAGCTCCGTCTGTCGATGTGTTACGTCGACGTCCCGGATGGGTGAGCCCGTTGGCTGGGTGCGCTGGTACCGCATGTTGCTCTGTGTTTCATCTCGGTTCAACGAGCGGGGGTATTTTTGTATCTTCGCTACCTCCTTCGTCCATGTCATCTCACGTCCTCAAGTTTACCCGGCTGCCTCTTGCGGCTGGGCTATTGACTGACTCTGTCTATCAGTGTGTTGGGTCGACGCTTTGGATGGAAGAGCCTATTGGTTGGGCGTGCTGGCCACGCATGTCAGTATGTGCTTCATGTTGGTTCAACATGCGGGGGGTATCTTTGTGTAGCCTCTCCCTTCTTCATCCCTGCCGTTTCACATCTACTAATGTGTTGTGGCTTCCTCTCGCTCTGCTCTTCTCCAAATGTAATGGAGGGGGAGGGTCCTTGAGCTCTTTCGTCGGTCGCCTTACCAGCTGGTTGAGGTGATTACACTGATGGTCTCCTGCTGGGCAAGATGTTGTGTGCCAAGCGTGGCTTCCACGCGGATACGACATGAAAACGGGCAGACACAGGTCTGCCAGTGTGTGGGAGAGTCCATGGCCACACTCGCATTGGTCTTGCTGAGCTTTCTATGTCATTTCCTTCTTCCGTTTGCCTTTTTCATGCTTATGGTATGTTCCTCTTTGTGCTTGCAACCATTGAGAACCTCTTCCTGATGTTTGGCTGCAACCGTTCTCGGATGGAGCTCTTTGATGCCGGCTTTCTCTTTGGTCATTCCCGTGTGGTCTATTTGATGAGATGACGGAGGCATGATCATACATTTTTCGTTGGGGTTGTTAGCTTCATGTTATTCAGAGGATTCGATGCCGTTGTTATTCGACTGGGTGGACCGTCCGTCTTGGTCGTCTTGTTCGACTGGGAGGCTCTGAAGAAGCTGAATTTCATTTTGGAACTTCATAAGACAGAGTACTCGGAAGTCATTATGTGAAGCCCATACATGACTTGCAGAAATGATGAGGTTTCTAAACAAGCCTTACAAGTGGTAATATCAGTTTGAATCTCTCTTATGTCCATGTTCAGTTGATCAGCGCGGGCGTCTACAGCTACATGAGCTGAATTTCATTTCTAATATCAGTTTGAACCTTGTAATCTTCGAATTTGAGCCATATAACTTTGGAATTTGAACCTTGTAATTTTCGGGCTTTTGTGGTACAATCGTTGAAATGACATCGTATACTGGTAGTACTATTTTGACCTTAATATGCAATGGACTTAGATTTTATTTACCATTCTTGAATGTGTTTCCCATATCGATCTCATCGCAAATGATCTGTATA